GAGAAACTGTCACAGGCGGCCAAGCACTGCGGGAGGAGAGCGATGTGAGCAGCCGGCGTCTTTCCTCCCTCAGCCTCCTGTCACAGATCAGAGGAGAGCGGTGTGTGGGCGGAGACAGCAGTTGCTGTCACAGGAGGCTGAGCTCCCCTCGCTCAGCCTCCTGTGACAGCGTGTCAGGAAGGAGAGCTGAGTGTTTGTAAATAATTGAGGACAGAGTATCTTTACTATATCCTCAATTATGCATAAATGGGAAGTGATCTAAATCACCTCCTGTTCATTTATGATTGTGGATATAGTAAACACAGTGGGGGGGAATTTATCAAAACTGGAGCAGACAGAAACTGGAGCAGTTGCCCATGGCAACCAATCAGCATCTCTCTTTAGTTTGCTCAGTTAAGATTTGAAAATGTGAGATAGAAGCTTATTGACTGCAATGCAAATCTGCTTCAGATTTTGTCTGCTCCAGTTTTGATAAATTCCCCCCAGTATGTTTTCATGTTATGAATAAACAGGAACACTCTTAGGCTTCCCGTTCATTTATAACAGGGCTGCAGAAAGAGATTGAGGACTCTGTGTCCTCCAATCTTTTTGTATTTTAAAAGGGAAATATCAGGGGTCTGTTTAGACCCCCTAATATTTCCCCGAAGCCCCTAAAAGTAAAGTAAAAAATAAAAATATTTAATAAAAAATGAATAAAGAAATAAAAATTAATTTACAAAGAATTACGTTTATAAAAAATAAATAAAAATAAAATTAATAACAAATTTAAAAAGTTTAAATAAAATTAAAATTTTGTTTTTTTAATGTATTTTTTATTTCGGTGCACCTCTAGTTAAAATCAAACACAATTTGGAATAAGAACACACAAAAGAAGCACCGCTCCTCCATAGTTCAGGGAGGGAATGGGCCAGGTGCACCGCTCCCAAGGTCCACCCTTACTGACACGTTTCACCCAATCACAGGCTTAGAGAGCTATGACGAAGCCTGTGAATGGGTAAAACGTGTCGGCTGGGTGAACCTGGGGCAGGGCACCAGTAATGTAGTATAAGCTTTAGTATACTATCCCAGTGGAATCCAGTGTGGGGCCATCTTTTCTTCCTTTTCGTATGGACAATTTGGAATAACATTACTAACATAACATTAATGTTCATATGAACTTTGGTATGAAGAGCTACCAGTGTATGGCCAGCTTTACGGTAAATATACACACCCTGTGGTCTGTTCTGTACAATGGGTTTAACAGGGTAGATCTGCTGCAATAGATAGGCATGCAGTTTAAGAAACTTAATCTAGGATAAAATGAGAGAGTTTATCCTAAGCTGCTTGAAGCCCATCCAATTAATACAGAGCAATATAATAAATCCTGGAGCTCGGTCTACTTCACATTCTGAAGTATGTTGCATAGACGTTTAGTAGCTCTTATGTGGTGATTGATTTAGGATAAATTATGAGAACATTCTAAATTAAACTTTGCCATTGCTGATACTATGACTGTGTGATTACACCGATACATTTAGACTCTACTGAGATTATCGTTGTACAAAAATCCGGGCCAAGTTCATTTTAGTTGCACATGTTTGTTTTGCCGGATCTATACCTTTCCAGTAATAATACTTGGGATGAACAATAGTTGATCAGGTTAGTATACCAGTATTACACATACTAAGAAAATTGCGTCACTTATTAAAAATGAGTAAAAAACTAAAAAGGATTTCCCACATCAACCAAAAATTGGTATAAATTAGCCCCATTGTGTCTTCTTCTGTCTAACATATGGGAGCTGAAAAATCAGTTGGCCTGGTTGATCCCTCTTCTTTTTTTGGTAGTGTAAGTTGATATTGAATGGCCTTTATAGTATGCATATTTGTTAACTATTTCTTTACAATTCGGATGATACGCATTGGTGAACATTAGATATTTTGTTGGCAGGAATTTGGAATATTTGAAACCATCCAAACAAAGACTTGGCAAACAGTCATCATATGTCTGTGGATACCTTAAATGCATGATGTGTATTGACTGACTTCTATTGGCGTCAGATGGGTTTTGCATTCCCATACAAGTCTATGGGAAAGCAAAACCAACTTCAAGCAGGTGAAATGTAGGTCAGAAGGCGGTCAACTACTGGTCAAATACACCTGTCAATGAGTTCTGAATTATCTCGGAATATCTCAGACTGATGTTCAAAACCTGTTGATACAAACCCTATCAGATCTGACATCTAATACTGAGATCTGGTTGCTCTTGGTTAATGTTCTTTTCATATCCTAGTAGGGCTGCAACCAACTAATCGATTATGAGAATAGTTGTCAACTATTCTCGTTATGGATTAGTTGGTTGGATCCCCTAGCTCTCTCCACACTGGGAGTAGGGCACAGCAAGCAGTGGGCGGGTGCAATAGCCAGCCTGCCATTGCAGGCTGTGTATTGCACCAGCTGTCATTCCCTGAATGAAGCTATTCAAGTGCCATGTGCTTACAATATAATTTTAAAAAAAATTGTAAAATTTTGGGAATGTTTTTTTTTTTTTGGCTTCGCCCTGACCAATTCCGCTGTGGGATGTTGCGTTGCAGTGCCATTCATTTCATTGGCACCCCAAACGCTTCTATCACCCGCAGTGTGATCGCCCGTGCTGGAACACGCGGTACTGCAATGCTGAGCGTTCCAGTGCAGTGCGATTGCACAAAAATTGTGCATGCAGTTTTATTCTGAAGTAAGCTTTGTTTGCAACACTCCTTTTATGTGCATTATATTTTAAATTAAGGATGGTATTTCATTTTTTTTTTATCCCATTAATCAAAAAAATATTCAATTACTAATTGATTATGAAAATAATCATTTAGTTGAACCCCTACATCCTTGTCTTGGTAGACTTGTCATCGCTAATGAGCATTTGACAAATGGTGCCCATATACAATGAGATGTGCTGCCTGTTCTAGTTGAGGACTTCTAAAAAACGTAAAAGTCATAGAAATCCTGTAGTGTTTGCCAGACATACCAGCTACTCGATTGGTGACGCCGCGCATTGACAGAAGTCTTCTTCAGTGTGTGTGACCAGATATACGGCATAGCAGTGGCCTTGTCATATGTCAGAAGTTTGTCAGTTGTTGGCATAGTAAATCTCTTCAATCATCCCGATAATGCGAGAAATGATTATCTTGACTGTATGTCGTAGTTCTTAGTTGATACTGCTTTTGTAAATATTTAGCAGCAGGCATGCACTTTAAATGACTATACAACAGATGGAAGTTTCTCCAGGACCCCTGTGTATACTAGAATGTCACTATTGTGTAGTATTGTACGGGAGACATACAATAGTCCGACACTGAATGACAGGGGACACGGTGACAGAGGGCCAAGGTTTTGTGACTGCATAGAAAGGTTGGGATAGCAGGCCCAGCGGGGTGTGTACAGAATGCCCTGTGATTCTCTGATTAGTCAAGCTGACTTTCCAGGGAATTCACAACACAGAACGGGAGGGAGGAGGACTGGTGGAATCACACTACTGCAGCATGGCTAGCAGCTGCCACAAAGCACACAAGCGAATGCGTACACACGTACAGAGGTTTGTCAGGCAACACGGAGTTGCACCACGTTATAGCCGATACACTAGTTGGACCGAGAGCAACATACTTATTGTCCCCCTGAGGCTTTTTAGGCATAGAACACCAATGACGATGCTTTTTCCTAAACTTTCTGCTTGAACTTTTTTGGGGGTCATTAGTAATTGAACAGTAATTTGTACAGGTCATGCATTGTTTTTCTGCTTCGTCATACTCACTAGGCAGTAATGTTAGAGAAGAAATTACTCAGAAGTCATACGGCGTGATCTATTTGATCAAATATTTAGGTCAGAATGGTGGAGATTTCAGTCTTCATTTTCTAGTGCAAGGTAAGAAGGGTGATGTATATGGACTATACAGACACTTGTCTCCCTCATTGGTTTCTTTTATTCTTTTTGCACAGCAACAAATGTGTTTTTTGCTTTCTACTGTATCTCTGGTATTAATTAATATAGAGTATTTTAAAGAGAGAATATAGGTTGTGCATTTTTTTTCTGTCTGGTTTGTACCAATACAATACCAATGTTTTAACATAGCAAATACTCGTTGTCTTCTGTCAGCTGTGGTCATTTAAAGAGAAACCCTAGTAATATATTTTGGTACACCTTATGATTTATTGTAGCACCTGAAAGTGATGGTTTGTATATGAGATCTTACTTCTTGTTTTGATTTGCAATGCATTCTTTAGTGTTTTTGAATCGTTTGGAAAGGCAGACACCGTTGGCATCCGTCGTCATAAGTAGGGAACAACAAGGGTCGGGACATGCAGTCTTTCAAGAAGTTTTACTGAGCACGTAGAAATAACAACGTCCAGCAGCTAATAGTGGTATTGAGTGACTCTCATATGTTTTATGAGCACTTGTACACTTGTGCTGAGTGAAGCGCTCATTGTGCAGTATTGCTAAGCAGGTAGCAGAGTTGCATATGTAAAGGGTAAATATGGATGCTCATATGTATGTATCATTTCGTCTTGCACAGAAGGTGTTTTTTTTAAACGATCTATATATTATCTACATAATATTATTTTTATTATTATTGTAGATGATTTATATAGCGCCAACAGTTTGCGCCACGCTTTACAACATAAGGAAGACATTACAGTTACAATACAATTCAAGACAAGATGGTAAGGAGGGTCCTGCCTGTGACAGCTTACAATCTAAAAGGGAGGGAGAAGTGATACATGAGGAGGTAGCTGTGTGGGGATGAATTGTTTGTGAATGTGATGGTTCGGTGGTTAGGTTGAGGTGGGAGGAGTCTTTAGACATACGGCTGATTCCTCTTGCCTATCTATTAAAAAAAAAAACCTGTAGTTTCTTGGTAAAATGTTTAGAGCTAGTTATTCTATTACCATTTATTATTAGCACTTTGTGTGTGGACTGAATTTAACCCATCTGTATGTTTTTGTCTGCAGGTACACGCAGTAACCGCCATGTTTAAACAGGAGCATTTTCGTTTCTACGAAGATTAACAAAACCGCTGTGTTGCTTCTCTAGACCAAGTGTGAGACTTGTACAGCTTCACAATGGATCGAACACAGACGGGTTACAAAGGGCAGAATTTCTTGAAGGATTTAAACTGCCATGGACGTATTCAGAATAGAGGAATACTTAAACAGGACTCGAGAAAATCCTACCACCTACATGGACAGCTCTCACCAAACCTGAAGGAGAAAACCTGCAGTGTTGTTCTCACCAGATTGGAGGATGTGACTGGCTCTCGTATGGTGGACAGTCAGGGTGGAACAGCACCAAATATTTCCTGCTGGGTGGATGAGTTTGGAACCCTTAAAGTTCATACTGGGCTTCCCTCAGAATCTCGGAGGATAAGTCCAAAAGAGAAACTTTTCACTGGGCTATCTGCTGGGTCAGTTTCCAAAATGGATTTCACAGAACCCCGAAAACGAAGGCTAGCTTCCCTCAATGCTGAAGCCGTAAATAATTTACTGTTCGAGAGGCATGATAGTTTTTCTTCCAGGAAAGTTCATAAAGAGCTAAACAAACCTGGTGTGAACTGCAAATCTACTGTAGATTGGACTTCCTTAAAAAGGGCAGACATTGCACCTCTTGCCAAAAAGGCAAAGCAGAGATGCATAGCTCGTAACAGGTCAGCGTCATCAGATGATGCGTTTGATGCTACTTTAAAGAGAGACGTTAATGAAGTATCTTATTCTCCTGCTCCAAAGAGACTGGCAAGTTTGAATGCTGTGGCTTTTTTGAAGCTCACAAATGAAAAAGGCCATCCTTTGAAACAAAGGAGCAAGTCCTGTGGAGATGGTGGACGTTCTTCCAGCAATTGCTCAAAATCCAAGTTGAAAACAAAAAGGTCTCCCAAAAAGATTTGTGTCAAGTCTAAGAAAGACTTACTGCATAGGAAGGCTGAGGACTACCATCGCTTGCAGGGGGGATCGAATCACATTGGATTTTTAAAACCAGAGCATCGAGAATCTACAAGGTCATTAGGTAAAATGAAGAGTGTTCATGTGGAACAGTCTTCCAGCTGCCATGATGGCTCAGTACCTTTGTACCACAGACTGCCTTTATTAATGGGAGGACAAGCTTCCATGAAGCCTGAGTATGGAAGGCCAGGTGAAAAGTCTCCCACTCCCAAACAAGACTTCCAGCAGCCTTCTTTTCCAGTGCAGCAACTTCATCACTTGCCAGTTCCAGGTAGCCACACAGATTGTGTCTGCTTTTATGGCTCAACAGATCTAGCATCTTCGTTGGATGGAACCTACATTTCTTATGGCCAAAGTGGATTACCTTACAATGGGTATTCAGATTTTTCCACGTACCCTAAAGACGAAGTGTTTTCACAGCCAGAGCACTGCGAAGAACTCTTGGTGTCACAGAGCTCTTTACACCCCAGTGCAATGTTTGAGCATCTTCCATGGTGCAACTCTCGCTTTTCCTATGGAGAAGACACTGGGACTAATACGGATAGCCTTTGTGGGGTAGTACGGCTGCCTTTTGGCAGAGTTCTGAACACTCACACGGGACATAACAGCTATCCATACAAAAAGCCTTTAACAGCAGGTATGTACTTTATTATGTGTGCTTATCATTTTAGAACTGTTTCTGTGATGTCTTTTTTTTTCTTCCTCCTATATAGATTAAATACACATTTAACCTATATAGTAAATGATTCTGCTCATCTCAAAAATGACACCCTGGTTTGTGTGACTTGGCTTAAGCAATTTATAGTATGCCAACTTCTAGGGGAATATCCCAGCTCTGGGTATAGTACACAACCACTTGGGAAATGCAAAATGTATTCAGGGGCTGAAAACATATTATTTTTCCTGTCATGTCTCTATGTGATTACAATTTGCATTCTGTACAGTTTTTTTTTTTTTATTCCAGGATTTGTGATTTCCACTCAACTTTTAGTGTAGGATAGAGTAGCACCGCCAGAATAAATGTATCAAACTGACAGATCTTTGAAGAAGACAGGATGTATTTTAATTATGCCACTGTGTTTGAAACTAAACCCACAACAAAGCACAATAATAGGAGGTGGGGTTTGCAACCAATTACATGACTCCTTTATTTTGTTAAAGAGACCCAGTCGCCAGGACATTGATTTCAACACAAATCCTCCCATAAGGTTATATGTACATTTAATTATGTTTTTTAATTACTTGTAAAAGTCCCCCTTGCATAGACATCCAAAAGTCCTGAGACTGCTGCTGGGTGTCGCCGTCTTGGATGTCGTGTCAGGAACTTCATTAGAGCTGTCAAGTGACATTTCTATAGTATTCCCTCTAGGTTACATAGGGATGAAGGAGCTAGACCAGCACAGAGAGTGATTAGACACTTCCAGAAGAGGAAAAGGCTATTATATGCGAGGAGGGAGGCGGTCATGCTAGGGTTCAAAGGTACATTGCAAGTGAATAAAAACTCATTAATGAAAAGCAAAAACACTGCCAGTAAGCATGAAAAATACTTGATTATTTGTGCTTTTACCTACAGTTTGTTTTTTTTTTTTTTTTATTATTTATACAGAGACCTTTTTATTTTAACAGCTTTCCAATTTAAAACAATACCAAGCTTTTTGGTTAATACCAGATAATCAGACCTTTAGTATCATTGCTTGCATTGTACTGTCGCAAATACTTGTAAAAAATAAGCCAGGGCAACTGGACTTGCTGTATTTTTCTTGAAGACGTTTCATAGGTCATCCAACCAGCTTTCTTAATTCAGAATTGAGAAAGCTGGTTGGATGACCAGCGAAAAAGTCTTCAGGAAAAATACAGCAAGTCCAGTTGCCTTGATTTATTTCAGGTATACCATGACCTGGATGAATGAGAACTTTCACAAACATGTCACAAATACCATTTGTGAGACGCACCAAAATTCTACAATCCTCCCAGGGTTTTAATTGCCATAGCAAAAGCCATTACACTAAACTTTGTCTTACCTTTCACTTCCCATTAGCAGTTTTTGAGGTCACTCAAAAACTCAATGACAAACTCTTTCAGGGCCGCTTAGGGTCCCCTTCATCGGGCTCAGTGATAACATTACATAATAGTACCACAAAATGTATATAACCATACACAAAAGAAGAAACCATACGCCACCACCCCACCCTCTTGACGTCCTATTCTCGCCATTTACAGTTCAAATGTACAGTAAATAAATAAGTAATGCAGGACCAAACTACTTGAAAAAATGGATCAGTAAACATCACTTAGTATTGGCAGGAATTGTGAACAAGAGAATTACCACTATGAAGAGGTGAAAGAGATGCCGCTCTGTCGGCAAATCGTGCTGCTGTCACAGCCGTTACATTGGATAACCGCCACTGGTTGACCTGATGACAAGACGCTCCTAACCCAGTGAACTTCTTTGTCAGCATCGTGAGGTTCCCTCCCACCAGTGCCGTGCGGATGTCGGATAAACAAAGGCGGATCCAGATCAGACTCGCAAATGGGCTGGACCTGCGGATCTGTCTGTGATCTGGATCCGCTTTTGTTTCTGTCATCCGCACGGAACATGCACTGGTGGGAGCATAGGTGAACGTCAGCATGCAGGCTCCTCAACAGGACTGGGTGCACTGGCTTTCCTTGGGCAGGCTCTGGTTGGAGGTGCCTGTTCTACCTTCCCTCTGGGTGCCTGGGAGTGTAGCTTCCCAGCCCCACTTGCACTTGCAACCTATCTGGACTGTGGCAGGAGATATGCCCACCATCTTTGTCTTTTGGCTTCCGCCCTTACATCAGTCACTTCCACCTGGCGGTCTTTTTAAATTGCAGTGGTACATGTGGCCACTCATCATGGGCTCCTGCCCTCAGTTCAGCCACTTCTGTCTTTGGCAGAAACAAAGTCCGGTAGTGGATGGCGTGTGGTCCTTTGGATCCCGGAGAGCAACAGGACTATATCTTGGTCACAGCTCTGTGGGTTGTTGTACTGCACTTGGTGTGTCTTTACTTAATCAGGAGCACGCACTGTCCGGGTAGTGGTGAGTTTATCCCTGCTTGGGGTCTTATCAGTCTTTATTCAGCCTTGCTCATAGTGGCACAACATGCAGAGTGCAGGGTGGACAATCAAAAGGCCAGTCGTCGGACAACTGTGGGTTCTTTGATGCCATTTACCTGTGCATCTTGCTTTTCCTTGCCCGGAAATCCCACAACATACAGGCCTCGCTCACATCCTAGGGCTTCATGCATATAAGGCTTCAGGTGCCTTGGGCTTCATTTTAACCTCTGACTCCTTTTAATTCTGTTATGGAAGGCTTTCTTTCTTGTATGGAGAATTTTTTTTTAGCATTCTTCTAAGAAATGCCCCCCCTTAATTACCTTCTAGCGACTGTGGAGGAACCTTCTCCGGCCGTGGACCCGGTCCCATGCACCTGGACAGGGTCCTATCCATGGTGAGGAGGATTGTCGGCTATGAAGCTGGGACATGAAAGCAGTTGGTATCTGCTCCTATTTGTGTAACCCTCTGCTGCAGATTCTTTAAATCATCTCCGAATTCATGCTGACACTGTCCTTCCTTCTGGAGAGTGGCTACTTTTGTTCCCCATGGCCCCTGTGTGTGTTGTAAAGTAGTCACCACTCCAAAATTGCTTCTGTGAAGGACTACAATCTCACGTTTTAGTTTACTAATTTGTTTTGAGATTGTAGTCTATCACGGGAGTGAGCATGGAGCACTGGCTACTTTACAACACACGGGGATCATGGGGAACAAAAGGAGCCACCCTCCAGAAGGAAGGACAGTGTCAGCACCAATTCAGAGATTATTTGAGGATCTACAGCCGAGTGATACACAAATAAGAAAGTTTTTGTTAATAGTTAAGGTACCTGAATGTATTTGTAAAGTTTAAATGCTGAGTTTAGTGGCACTTAAGTGGCATTTTTACTATACTAATTTCTTAAAAGGCTACATCAAAAATAAGATGTAGCATTTTCACTACAGACCCTGACAAACATGCTTCACTTCAAGAAATAATTAAACCTTACAGTTTAATGTTTTACAGTAAACATCACGATGGTAATAGTAAATGAGAAAACAATATTGTTATATTTCCATGAAGGCCAAAAAGAAGATGATTCATGCTTGGGTGGAGGTATCCGGTAGGAGAATATTTTATAGCTGACAATTGCCTCTGAACGAGCTTTCACTTTCCTTCAAAGAAAGGAACCTGAATCCTTCTAAGATTGTCCAACACATCAGACTTTTTCTGCAAGCATTACTGGACTCCTGCAGACGGGCAGCCTAGGGCTAAACAGAGTAAAATTACGGTGTATTTCACCCCCTGGGAGCCACAGATGTTGCTTACAGATGCCAATCGAAAAATTCACTTGTGGACCATAAAAGAAGGTCCAAATTTCTGACAAGCCCCTGAGCTTTTTTTTTTTTTAAATTTACTTGCGGGAAGAAGATGCTCTTACTTCTCGTGAGTTTGCTAATAATCTTTTCCAGCAGCGCTCTGAACAGCTCTAAATGATCGTGGCTTTATAAGCCTGGAAACTGGAGGGTCTACAACTGGTGGGAGGGATTTTTATTTTTTTGTAAAGTAAGGCTCCTCAAAGGAAAATGCCAAGGCAGGCTTGTCCATTATTTGTAGATACAATCATCAAAGAGGAATTCATAAAGGATGACCGTTTTGTGCTTGTGTGTGCCAAACGAACCAGAGAAAGATGTAGAGGTCTCCTGAATGTTTAGAGTTTCTCTCACATCTTTAACAAGCTACACTTTTATTTATTGGATAGGGCAGTTAAGTGTTTTATATGAAGCTTGTTCTCACCATATACAGTGCGTTCCAGCAGCTATCGCATAGTAAACTCCCCCTGCGTTCTGGGGCAGGGGGGGGCATGGTGGTGCATTGAAGTCAAAGGCTTCGCAGCTAACCCCCCCGCCCGCAGTGTGATCATCCACACCAGAATACGGTCAGCAATGCCTCTGTTCCAGTACGAACGAAAAAAATAGTGATGCAGCATTTGTTTCCAATCACACTGGACCAGAACACAGGCATTGTTGCGCCAGCGCTCTGCTGCGAGCGATCACACTGAAGGCGGCGGGGGGGGTTGCTGTGGTGCCATTGACTTCAATGCGCTGCTATGCCCCCTCCCGCCCCAGAACGCCGGGGGGAGTTTACTATGCGATACAGTGCGTTACAGCAGCTAACTGCGCTGGAACGCACTGTATATGGTGTGAACAAGCCCCATATAAGGCACTTGAGTGCCTTATCTATTATTAAACATGTAGTTTGTTATGCGATACAGTGCGTTTGTTTGGAGTGCAACAGGAAGTGAGAAGAAATGTCTACAAAATAAGGAAATTCCTCTTTTAGCCAGATGTCTCCATTGGAAAACTTACCTTCACCTCCTGTTCTGGTGATGACTGTAACATTTTGGATGACAATGGCCACCAGGACACACAGAGAAGGTGAATATATGCAAAGGGAACATGGCAGCAATAAAATCTGACACTGGATCTGACACTTCCACACTCTGGCCGAAAGTTTTTTATCCTTTTTTTTTTTAATGACATTTTTATTTTAGGAATAAACATTTCAGGGCGTTTTCACCTAGCAT